ATTTGGGAAATTCTCCACAAATTGGCAACACTGGTATTTTGACGCTTCAAACGCGGCGATATTTTCGTGGCCGATCTACCCGCACGAAGCACGCCCCGCGCCCGCACCCGCCTCGAGAAAGACTATGTACGAGCGTCTATGTACATTTGATTTACACGCACCCGCGCCCGCCGCCACTCTGAATAAGGGTAGCCTATCACAAACTCGAAAAATTTTTTTGTCCGAAATAACGTTAGTTCGAATTTTCATTGCACAGAAAACCGAATTATAACGAAACAGTTGTTCTTTCAGGATATATTGAATGTTTATCACAAAGACACGATTAGGTTAGGTTGAGTTAGGTTTAAAAGAAAACCCCCCGAAGGGGTTACAGATGGTGTGCTCACAGAGGTGTGCTTACAGATTACCCCGGCCCCCGCGGGAGAAACTGAAACTTAAACTTAAAATTGCAAGAAAACTTTAACATAAGTACCACCAAATATTCTTTTAGAATTAGAAAGAATTAGTACTAACTTTTCAAAATTACTGTCTCTTTTTTATTGTTAAACTGCCTTCCAATCTTTCTTCTATAATTTGTTCCAGCTATTTGATTTTCAATCTTTCTTGATACTTGTATATTATTTTTGATACATGTAGAGAATATTCAACTTCTTATTCTATTTTTCCACATCTCCTATAACATTTTTCAATAGTTTTATCTTTTTGTCTCATTGGTGTCTCAGTCATTTTAATTTTGCTCTCATTGAAACAATTTCTCAGAAATGTTCATACTCGAATATTCGTCACTTTTTTTGCGATGATGAAGACAGATTTGATGCAAGTGGATCTTATCCTTGTTCTTCTAATTCTTCTGATTGTTTGCTACCGTCTGTGTCAATCTCTTTTTGTTTGACTTTATTTGCTTGTTGATATTTCTTACTATCCTCCATCTCCTCCATCTTTCTTGACACCACGTATACAGAGTGTACGGAGTGCACGTGGTGTCAATTCATCTCTACTATTCATTTGCTTTTCTTCCTTTCTTTTTAAATATCGTATTATTTCCGTTTGTTTTTCAATGGCATATAATTCTTCATTTTGTTAGCATGGCATAGCGTTCGCGCTTAGCTAATCTTCTTCGCACCAATATATCTTATTTTGATTGGGCATGCCATGACGCCTGCAATGTGTAGTTTAGGAAATAGAACATTTTAGAAAATATTATTGTAGTCAACATTCGTTTCATTACCGAAACTTTTGGTTCAATCCCATAATCCCAAAAGGTTACGGTAAACGACGGTAATGAGGGTCACGGGAGTGAGAATTGTATAAGTTTTGTACAATGACTCACTTGTATTTAGCACTTGGGTCTACCATCTAGTCTATTTAATTAACAGAAATATATGTTAATCTTTTGACTTTTTAAATAATTAGATATTGCGAGTACGTACCAAATTATATGCAATTCTGTAATGAGACTTGAACTGGTTGAAACACCTGTTTCATGACTTCGATTTCAATTTTCTACGAGAAAGCCAACGTGAGGTCTATCTCGTAGAATCTTAGCGACACACTAAAGTTCACGGAAGTGTTAGCGATGATCGGCGGCAAGACCAAATGCGTTTGTCGCTCACATGAAAGTTGCAAATTTCATGTTCTGGTAATGAATTTTTTACTGTGTCAAAAGTTAAACGTCGTGTAAATGTAGACTTTAATTGTCAAATTTTAAATTTTTCGTTGATATTTTATGAAAAATCAATCCAATGTTTAGTTACTAAATACTATTTGGCGTTCTACAGGTAACTTTCTTTTTAATATCACAATTTTGTAAACTGCAAAAAACTACTTAAGAATTCATTACCGGAGTAATGAATTCTTAAGTAGTTTTTTACAGATTTTTTTTTTAATTCTCATGAAAACATGAAGTAAGTTGTTGCAACACTTAGAACAAGTAAATATTTATAAGTTGAAATGTTTAAAATTAGTTAATAGTTTAATTTAATTTTTTATTCCATTACAATAACGTCCATATTTGTCTTTGTATATTCACCGACAGCATTCCAAAGACGTATCGATTAGAAAGTGAATATCCCTGTTGATTGGGTAAAATTCTGCCCTGCTAAGCCGAAAGGCGCTATCTCTGAGATACGCCCTTTAGTTTTTTTTATACCATTCAATAGCTAATTTCGCGTATAATGATATAATAGAAATAGATATATCTAACTTAAAACATTTAAAAAACCACTAAGAACTATTGTTATATCTCAATTTTTGAAATTTTTCTTTATAATCCAAATAGTGGTATTTCACAAAATATGTATAATGGTACAACTTATGGAAAATTTAGGTATGTCAATAAATCTATTTGTCAAAAATATGTGTAAATAAGTTTTAACATCTTCAAAAGATTTATTTTTGAAGGTGCGTAAATACAATTTACAAACAGTCGATTTTCTCAAAACTTACTCCGATAGAGATAGCGCTTTTCACCTTATCATGGCAGAATTGTACTACGTAAATCGTTACATTCTTTTAAAATATACTTATATAGAGGACAAAGCTTTAATTAATTACGTGTATCGCGTACCTATCAAACCTTGAAATTAATGTTTCGTAACACTGACAAGCAAAAATTTAGCAATTTAAATTATTAGTAATTAGGTAGGTATATTACACATGTCATTTGAAAATGAAGTCATAAGCCCGCACGCAGTAGGGCTGGTAAGTGACGGGAATACTGTGTTGTGGGTTATCCAAAATAACGTATATAAAAAAATGGAGACGGTAAATTTGAGAGATAAATCTCTTTGGAATTTCAAAAGACAATGTAAGTAATTGCGTATTTCATTTTATCGACAAATAACGAGTATTTTTAAGATATAAGGAAACTGTCATAAGAACCGTTAAGTCTTTTTTGTGAAAACCTACATTCATACCTACGCAAGATACGCCCTAATTAGATTTGCCTATTAATTCTCCCTTTACTATTATTATTTAGGATCTACGACTTGGGATATTAGGTCGAGCAGAGTTTAGAGTTAAGGCGTATATTATATTATATATTCTTTTTTATGTTTTATTTTATAATTTCATTTTAATTTGTGGTATATTTTATATTTTTTATCATATAATGTTTGTATATTTTACGTGTTGTACATTCATTGCATATTTATCACAAAATTGATTCATTGAGTGCACACGCCACACAAACACACACCCCACAAATACACTACCCACACGTACACTCTCACTTCACAAGGAGAGACACACGCACACAATTATTGAGTTGTTTGGACAAGGAAATTCTTTTTTTTAATTTTTCAAAGTCAAAGTCAAATTATTTAGTCACCAAGACAACACAGTACATTGCCTATAGGTAAGTCAAATTACAAAACAAACTAGTAAAGTCTTCACATTACGATATTTTAAGAAAATTAATATTCACTTCGACTTATAAAATTTTAATGATTGCTTGAATATAGCCATTTCAAAGTCAGATAGACTAACTGGTAGTTTATTAATTTTCATATTTACGCCCTGTTTTAACATTTTTACTAATCTGGTTTTATTTGTTACTAGTTTATGTTTACTTCTCGTGTGGTATGAAAGTATGTCTGATATCTTCCCCATATCATTTTTTGTTTCATGTGTCTCTAATAATGATCTGTATATATACAATGAAATTACAGTCATTATTCTATATTTAACAAAGTACTCTCTAGCAGATACACGTATGTGAATACCTGCGATAATTCGTATTGGTCGCTTTTGCAAGACCAACACTCTCTCAATATCAGAAAAATTTCCCCAGACAGTTAAAGCATAACCAATAATTGATTGAGTATAAACATAGTATACACTTAAAACACTTTCTTTATTCACTAGTGGTTTAAGTTTAAGTAAAGCATAATTTGCCGCTGAGAGTTGTTTACATATCTTGTCAATGTGAAGAGAATGAGTCAATGTGTCCTGAATAACATATCCTAAAAATGTAGTATATCTAGTGTCAATGTTTTTTTTTCTGACTTTGTTTTGTACTCTGTGGTAAAGGTTTTTCTTATTAAGGACTATGCCCTTTGTGGTAAACCATTTACTAAGACTATCCATAACAAAAGTTTGTTTTTCGAGCATTTGAATTTTATTTGTGGCTGCTATTCCTACATGAGTATCATCTGCGAATAGATTTACATTTGCCCATGATGGTAATGCGTTTGGCAAGTCGTTAATATAGATGAGGAATAACAAAGGTCCTAATAGTGATCCTTGCGGAACTCCGTGACTCCGTGAATGTCAATTTTTCTAACATCAGAAAATATGCCTTCCACCATTACAGACTGAGTTCTATTCGAAAGATAAGACTTCATTAAACTTAGTTCCTTATTCTTAAAGCCGTACGAGTTCTCCTGTTGTTGCAATGTATGTCAATAGTGATGAACCCTTAAAATCGACAATAACATTTGCCAATAGTTTCACGTTGTTGACTTTGTTGCTTTTTCTAAGCTCATTTTCCGGTTCTAAGTATTTAACGTTTTCATTATATTTTGAAATTCTACATATTTCTTCATTTATTTTATATGTTTGATTATCATCATATGTATTGTATGCAAAGGTACATAGTACTATATCAAAGTTTCTGTCTAGCTCTTTCATTATTTTTCTTACAATTTCAATGTATGAGGATCTTTTATGATGTTGGGGGTATTATTTTCTTATATGTATTACAACTGTATCGTCTTTTTGTAGTGTCTTCGATACCGAATAATATTGTTTTAATATATCATAAAAAGTAGCTCCATTTTTACTATAATTCATTATATATTCTTTGTTACCATTTATCTCATTTAAAAGTTTTTCGCTTAGATTTGTTCCGGTTCCATCTAATAGGATAACAACACGACTCGGAGAATAAGTCACTATATTTTTTTTTGTGACTTGCTCGCTTTTGTACTTATTTACATATGGCTTCTTGACCTCATTGAGAGAGCACCTTAGTGGGCTAATATTTAGAGAGCGTGAGATGTTACTTGAAATTGAGTTTTCTTCCTTATTTATTGATACTCGAGGATGTACTTTCGTCTTGATGTAAATTCATATCTGTGATGGTTGTGTTTTGGTTGAGAATTTTCCTTGCAGTCGCATTAGTCGTAACTTTATTTAAGCATTTTCTCCTATTCTCTTTACAACTTTTTTGGGGAGTTTGTTTACATATATTCATAAGGTGCTCGGCTTTACTTTCTAGGTTAGATATTACAGATTTTAAAGAATAATTTTCACTCAATAAATTGTCTATCTCGTTATCAACACTTTTTGACATTTCTTCGACTTTATTTGAAGTGTCGATTTGTTGAAACTCTGGGCAGCTTCTATTTAGGTTAATGGTAAGATTTGCATCGTCTTCATCTTCATCCTCCTCCGTTGTTAGATATTCGAACGAATTTTAGGTGGGTATGTCGAAAACATATTTATTTCGATGGGTTATATTGTCTTTTGTTGACTAGAGAGATGTGTTTTGATTTTGTGTGGATAGAAGGTTCAATGTTTCAATGCATGTTAAACATTACCAGGCTGATCTTTTTTCAGGTTCCATAAGATAAAATCTCTGTGATTATCATCATTCACATCATTGCAGCACTCTAAATGGTATTGTTTCTCCCAATTTGCACATTTTAAAAATAGTCTGTCAATTACTGCAAGATTACATTTGTCACTATTCATTTTAAATAATAAAATTTTTAATTTGTTATCACCGTGTATGTTTCTTGTTATAATTATTTCGTGTCTATTTATTTGTTCTTACGTTTCGTATAATAAAAAATATTAAAAAAAAATAATAATCATCTTAAAAATAACATTTCCTTGGAATTACGCCATTGTCGGGGTTTGAACTCAGACCTTTTTACACTAGTGCCCGTGCAGGTAACCGCTAAACCATGTGACGTTACGTGCTAGCGTGAAATTTGGGTATATGTATTAACGCACCCCACAGTATGTTGAGGATAGGTAGTTAATTGTAACAAAACAAAAAACTAATTTCTTCTACCTTCCAAATATATTAAACAACTCACTGTTTCACACAATTCTACTATAATTATTTTATTATTTTCGCGGTACACACTTAACCCGGCGAGTATGAGGTGAGAAAATGTTACACCTAGAATGAGGCAGGGTATGACATACCCGAATTAAATGTACGCTTGAAAATTTTTATATGATATATAATATTTTTTTACTGTTTGTATTAGGTAACTAACGTCTCATTAATGAAATAAAATAAAAAAAAGTGTTGTTATAGTGAAATATTAATTATTTATTTATATCTTTTTAAACATTGTAATTAAAGGAACAAAATCATAAAGGTTTCCAAAACCTAACAAAACTAAACAAAATATTATTCTAAATAATGAAAATCAAATTCAAACTTAAAATTAATGAGATCTTGTAATAAAAAAATGTAATATATATTTTTTTTCTCTTAAAAATATAGTAAGACACTTTAATTGAGATCAGCACAATTTTGGCATAAAAATTTTGCGTGTTCCATACAGATGGGCTTTGCGCAGGTGTTACATATATATTTAGTCTTCCGATCTTTCTTATTTGGACATTCGCGACATCTCACATACCGCCCAGGCATATTAGCAGAGGCTCCAGGTGTAGGATCACCGAGCTGACTTGTGATTCGCTGACGAATGTGAAATGGGATGTTTTTTTTTTCTTTTCTTGATTCTAGATGTTCATATATCAGCGATAGGCCCAAATTGCGAATGAATTCTGTTCTCTTTACAGTAGCACTTTTATTTGCTTGATAAATAATGTAAGCATTGATAGAAGCCATGTTCAAAATCCCATAGAACAACGTCATGGGCCAACGTTTACTATTTCGAGAAACGTTGTAACTGGCGCTCAATTCATCTACCACGTCCACACCAGCTTTGGTTGAGTTATAAAACGTTATAATTTCTGGTTTGTTTTTCTCACCTGTAGATTGATCTATTGAGTTGTCATGGTGCATTGTGGACATAGCTATAACGACTTTGTTTTTTTTAGGCGCATAGGAAACAATTGTAATGTCCTTTTGAAATCCGAAGAGTGAAGTTGCAGGTTCCCTACCAGTTCTGGTAAAAGAATCGGGAATTTGTCTCTTATTTTTTCGGACAGTTCCAGTCGATGTAAGACGATGCTCATTAAGTAAATGTAGCATTAATGTGTAACTAGTAAACCAGTTATCAAATGTGACGTTACGGTGTGAACGTGATACTGGTTGAATGAGCCTCTCCACTACATCAAAAGCTGTATTACTGACCGCATATGGTCCCAATGGCTGTTTGCCTGCATATACTTCAAGGTTTAAAACATAGAAGGATTTGGCGTCCACTAAAGCGAATATTTTAAGCCCGTATTTCGCTGGTTTGTTTGGGATGTAGACGCGGAATAGGCACCGTCCTCGGAACGAAAGCAACATTTCGTCGATGGTCAAGAATTCGCTCGGAGTGTATGCGTTCTGACAGCATTGAACAAACTGATCAAACATGCTTCTGATAGCTGCCATGTTATCCGTTTTTTTGCGTTCTTCACGCGTCGATTTATCATCAAATCGAATGCTATTCTGAAGAAAATAAAATCTTTGCAGCGACATGGTGGTACGAAATACGTCAACACCAGTACCATCAGTTCGCCACAGGTCCTTCAAATTCTGACGATTCGACTTGGTGACGCCTGCTATATATAACAAACCAATGAATGCCTTTAACTCACTCATAGTGATTTCTTTCTTGTGGACAGCATTTGGGTCATTACTTTTGACTTGACTTCTACGAATTTCTGAGTTCGTGTGTAATAACGTTTCGTCTAGCATACTTTGAGTGACAAAAATATTCCAGCATTTACTCTCTGTGTCAGCATCTCTTGCACCAGTCTTTACTAGAGCCCGTTCGGTAACTATGTTTTCAGACCGAAGCCTTATATTCGGGCGCTGGCAGTTTTTATACCACTTTGTACCGTCTTTAGAACTATAATAAGATCCACCAACCTGTCTAGAACAAAACATTCTGGATCCGAGAGCAGACAGTGGTACGTCATCATCGGAGTCACTGTAAGTTTCGTTTGCTACCACTGTTTCTTGCCCGGAGTTAGATAAGAGATCAACTGGATCATCGGCCTCCTGCTCCGTGTCAGAATTCACATTATGATCACTACAGTGATCGGTTTCCCCTTCTGAACTCGATTCATATGAAGAATCAGTTTCCACCTCCTCTAGCATGGCCCTGATCCGATTTTCTTGTGCCTCAATATTCATTTTTCACCATATACTAAAAACAATATATAAGAAAATTAAATGTAAAAAATTAAATGTAAAAAAAAATAAAATAAGGTGTAAAAACATTTTACATAAAAAAAATACATTAAGTATGACGCAGGGTATGACATACCCGAGAGAGGTTTGAGCGCGAATATCTCGTTCGGCGTCCTGCGAAACACTGCGACCACGCCACTATCCCCTCCCGCACACCACACACTCCAGCTACTCAACGCGCCAGTGTTGTTAGATAATTATTAAAAACAATAAATAACTTTAAGTGAAGGTCTGGGTATGAGATACCCTGCCTCATACTCGCCGGGTTAAATGCACTATTTATTTGCACATCTTTTAACAGATGAATAAATACTTTGAGTAAACGTTCACTTTTGTCACTTTGTTTATATCATTAGCACTGTAATGCACAATTTGGGTCACTCTTGTTTTGAATCTATTTCGGACTATTTAGTTGGAAAATATTCTGGATAACACTTTGGCTTCGTATTTGACTCACATTAACGTTATTTTCAATATTTTCTAACGATATTTCTGTGTTTATTAATTTTACGAAATAAAAATGCTTGGAGTCTACTGACAATGTCAGGCAGCACCCTCTCACACTTCAAATTGTAAAATGTGGTTAACTTTAACACAAGTTGAAAATTCGAGGACCATTGTCTAGCTCACGAAGTTATGGCGTCTTATTATATTGATATATAACTCAGCACTAAAGAAAACAATAACTGAATGAGTCTCAGACAAGTTTTTTTACTTACTTCGTTTCATCTTTCAGAAAACGATAGACACTCTCTTTATCCCGTTTAGATGATTATAAACAGCCGTACACGGCACAATTCACGACCATTATAAATAGTAAGATACAATGATGTTATAAATTAACGCACAAATTTCGTAATGAATAAATGAAAACTATATTCAAATATCAAAGCCGTCTTAGAGCGAAAACGGCTCGCCGACAGCCTTGTTCTCGTTCAGTTAATGTGACCGTCAAATTGCGGGACGCGGTGCGGTACCTAAAGCTAGGGAGTGCGGAGAGTGGCCGTTCTCGTCACTTATTTGTTCTCTGCCCTGGCTTTATAGCCACGCATTTAAAAAAATAAATTCTGCAATAATTCAGAATTATTTTTTACAAACATATGTCGTATAGTTTGCGTGTTCTGTTTAATTCAGTCGACATAAAAAAAAATCATTAATAGATGTAGGCAGCTTGATTAAGGTCATGGATTTTAAGAAGATGAGGTTTTGTACTGAACAGTTGTACAAATTGTGTGAGCTCTCTTTGGAGAGAAAATTGTATATTACTAGCATAGTGTCAAAAAAATTAAACTTTAACATATGACCATGGTATCAGACAGAAAAGTAGGCAAGATCTTGTAATACCAATCCCAAGTACCAACACTGTATTTGCAGATAGGCAACACGACAAACGTGCGACCAACATATACAACACTTTGAATAAGAAATTAAAAATCTACAGCAAATTGTATTATGAGTGTAAAAAGATTATATCCAAATGGATTGCGGGGAAAACATATGAAGAAGTTGAGGCTACACACACGCGTACACACACACACACACACACACACA